GACACCTCATGATCACACAGGCTGGCGTGGTTCTTCCAGGTGGGCTTTGTTGCTTCCCTGCTAGATGGCCAGGAAGCAGAGGTTTTAATTCCACTTGGATACCCACGATAAGTTCACTGACCGACACTCTGCTTGGCCTACTGTAACAGTAATTCACATTTTTGCAAAGAATGGAAATCTCATGTTATCATCGGGATGGTCTCTTAATAGTGGCTTCTCTTTCTACACAGGACTTGTAAATGGAATTACCAGTGGAGCTAGAGTTGACAGAATAAAGTTACAAAACTCCTTCTGGAATCTCAGTCTGGCTTCCGGGTTCTTTTTACCTGCATGCGTCTCTTTTTCCTGGAGCCCAGTCTGCCCTAGGCACCTGCATCTGCGGCTCTCAGTATAAAGACAGGGTGAGAAACAATGGCTCTCCCATCGCACGTTCACAACCCCACTCTCTCCTACGGCCACACTCTGGATGCGAGGGAGAAAGCGTTCCTAGGTGTCAGTGTCTGGCCACTGACCAAGGGTCCTCGTGGAGCAATGACTCCTTACGCAGAGACTCTCAGCAGCTGCGCACGGTCAAAAGGAAGCAGCTCTTATTTTAAGGCTGACATTCAAGGCCTTCACAGACTAATCTCAATATTTAAATATTCATGAATTCCTTATGCGTGACTTTCAAAATGCCCGTTTCCCCAAAGTGATCTGCTGTGTAACCTTATGTGTGTATCTTTTGAGAGAGCAAAAGGGGGATAAGCTGTGAAGATGTGCCCATAATACCAGAGTTTATGTCAAAACAGGGTGGATGAAGGTTCCTGGGCAGCACAAATGCTCTGTGCTCACTGGCAACCAAAAGGCTGGTAGTTCAAACCCACCCAGTGACACCGCAGAAGAACTGGCACTGGCACAGCTTCCCTAGCTTACAGCTAACCTGCTCTGCAGCCAGGGTGCTTCTCCACATGAACACATAAAGCAAAACCGAAACACCTACAAACAGAAATGGGTGATAGCAACTAATAAAAACTAAGGAAACCAGGAAGGCAGGATGGAAAGGGAAGGAGCACCTGTGTCAGCTCTGAGCCCTTGGCAGACGA